CCGGCACGCTGCACCAGTTCCACCAGCTGGACGCCATCGCCGACCATTCGGTTTGTTCGGATGTTGAGCTGAATACTTTATTTCAGAGCTGAACGTGAAGAAGTAAAATGGAAGAACGAAAGGAGCATTGCTCATGCGCAGATGCAGAGTGGGGGAAGCAGGGGGTGGAGTGGGGGCGTCCGTGCGTGCGCAGTGCCCGTTTTGTTCTTCTATTTTACTTCTTTACGTCCAGCTCTGAAATAGCCTATTCTAGTCAAGAAATACTACACGACTCGACGGCCGTCTCGCATTTTGCTAACTTCACTCGCGCTGGGCCCGCAGGGTTCCCCCGGCCGGGTGTTCGTGGGCTCCGGGTCGCCGGGTTGTCCCGGAGGTGACGGCGGCGACCCCTCGTCGCTCAGCATCATCGTGGACCCCTCTCACCTCAGCGCCTCGTGCCCCGCCATCGACCACCTACAGCTGCCGGCCACTGTCCCCTCCGCTCCCCCGCTCGCGGACCACCACGTGGTCGTCGATCTATTCCAGGTGCGTGCTGACCGACTTGGGGCTTGATCCCGTCGAGAGGGTTCTAACCACTGACCTGTTCCCAGACACGGGCGCGAGTCCCCGCGCTGCTCTCCGCGGCCGTGGTGGCGTCGCGCTCCGTGCCGTCCCTGTTCCCGCCCCCCGGCCTGCCCTGCGGCGGGCGCGGGGCCATCGCCGCCTCCAGGGGCGGTTTCTTCTCGGCGCTGTCCCCTGGGTCTCTCCTGGGCACGGCCAGCTCCGCGCCGACGTCGCCGGGCACCTCACCGGGGGCGTCGCCGGGAACGTCCCCGGGGGCGGAGCACCGCGGCTGCCACCACCGCACCGCCGCGCTGGACCCGGCGCGGCAGCCGCTCCTGGGACAGCACCTTGCCGCCTGGAGGCTGGCCGAGGAGCCCGAGACGGCGGTGTAACGAGCAGACACCTGTCATGACCTCCCCCCCCCCCCCCCCCTCCGCCCCTTTCTCTCGTGATCCGGGAGGTCCCCTGCGGCTCGCTGTCATTGTCATTGTGCGCAGTCCCGAGCAGGTTGGGAGGAAAGACAGAGGGACGCTCTTCGGGAGGAGCAGGGAGCAGGAAGAGGACGGCGACGACGAGACCCCACCGAACACACCGCCCGAACCGAGTCCCTCGTGCCCGTCGAGTCCAACGTTGGCCGAACCGAAGAGCGCCGAAGTCGAAGAGAGCTGCCGAAGGGGCTCCGCGGGAGCGTGGCGGAGCGCGGCGGCGGCACGGGCGAAGCAGACAGCCCGCCGGGCCTGCCGGGCCCCGCCCCCTCCTCGCGCTGGGCCCGCAGGGTTCCCCCGGCCGGGTGTTCGTGGGCTCCGGGTCGCCGGGTTGTCCCGGAGGTGACGGCGGCGACCCCTCGTCGCT